ATTGGACTACCCGCCCCGCAGCCTGCAGCCCTGGTGCCTTGGGGCGGAGGGTCCGAAGTCATCCCCAGGATTGGCCACAGCCCCAGCGTGGACCCTAGGATCCCCCCCACTCCTGGGCCAGGGCCCCGGGCGCATGGTGGGGAGGCTGCAGCCCCCTGGAAGGCTGGAGGCTAAGGTGTCCTTGAGGAGGCAGGCAGGTGCAGGAACACTGCCTCTGGCCCCTCCTGGGAGCTAGAGGGGCCAGCTGAGGTCTCGGGCATTGGGGGAGGAAAAAAGGATTCTGGATTATGGGACCTGCCTCTGCTGCTCTTTGGCCCTCAGTCTGTCAAAAGAGGACAGTCGTTCGGATGCTTTGCAAACTCAAAATTCCAAACAATTTTTTTTAATGTCCCGTTCAAGATTGTTTAAAGTGAAGGAAAGGCGTTGGGGGTGCCCAACCTGACAATTGCTGCGGGACTATTCTGACAGGCATGCGAGATGCCAGTTCTGGAAAGAGAAGCCCAACGGATACTTGGTCAGAATGTCCACACAGGTGGACTCTGCCGGGTTTTGCCCCGGGCACAGACGAGTCAGAAGTACAGACACTTCCTGTTTGCAGCCCAGACTTCCCCAACTCCTGAGAACTTGCTCAGTGATGGAGCCCCGCAGGAATGTGTGGATTCCTCTCCCACAAGTGTCCAGGGGCAGAGGTGCTGGGAGAATGTGGAGTTCACAGAGGGAGTGAGAATGGCAGTCATAACAGACGAGCTAGAGTTAAAGAAAAGAAACAAAAACAGTGAGCCAACATATTCTTTTTCCTCCAAACAAAATTTTTGGTAGAGGGTTGCTTACAATTCTGAAGAGTAAGTTACATTTCTGTAATTTTCCAAAGATCCAGTCATTCAGTGAACTTCGTGGAAGGCTATGCTACTAGGTGCTAGAGACACACCAAATCTCAATCACTGTGTGACTAAAGCCAGGTCTCCATTCTGTGCTAGGAGTTCCCAGTCCAGAAAGGGAGCAATTTCTTCACTTTCACCGGGTTGATAAGGAGAATGGCTCCTCCAGTCAGAATGAACAGCATATCTCAAGAAATGGGAAGAAAGAGTATGGTGTGCTTGTTAAGCATTTGATTTGGCTGAGTCAAAAGGAGCTTGTGGAAAGAACTTGTTAGTGAAAATATAGACAGAATGCCCCCCTCCACCCCAACTTTTACACTGTGATGCTACAATAACAGCCAGCCAATTTTAAGTTTGAACTTTGGAATGGGGAAACTGTGAAAGGAAAGCTATATGTAAAAGTGGATTCTTTTAGGAAATTTTATATCACAGAACGAGCCCGAAGGCCCAAAGGCCAATTGCTGATAGGATTTGGGTGGGGCCAGGAGATTTAACTGAGTTTTGATAGCATCTTCTATAAAAGAAACTATACTGAGTTGAAAAGCTATGAAACTGGATTCTAACCTCATCCTACCAAGTTTATGTGGCCTCGAGGAAGTTACTTGTCCCAACTTAATTTTTCACATGTGTAAAGCGATTGAAGCAAAGGTGCTAAATCCTCTCTTGCTCAAAGGTTCCATGATTCTTCAATGAGTTTGCAGTCGCAGACTTCTACTCAACATTCACTCAACAGAATACTTAGGAACTACCGAACGCTGGGAAATTGAAGTGAGATATGGGTGCGGCTCCCTGCCAGCTCAGTGGCAGTGGGACAGCCAGAAATGTAGGCTACAGAATGAGAAGTGCTCTATGAAAGGAGTGAACAGAATTAGTGGAGCATTATTATTAATAATTAGTAATGGAATTATTAATTCAGCTTAAGGCCATGGGGTGTGGGTCAAGAAAACTAACAATGAACTGGGCCAGAGGGATCAATAGGTGATAATATAGATAATGTTCGTGGCAAAGTACTTGGGACATAATAGTTGTTCAACAGTACTTACCATATAGTTACAGTCACCATAAAGAGACTAAATGGCTCCATAAAGTTAGGGAAAGTAGTGGCCTACCCCCACAATATTAGCTGCCCAGCTACCTTCATCCACCTGACTCAAAGGGTCATCAGCTCACAGCTCGCTCTAAGGTAATATGACATCACCTTCTTGACCAGAAGCAACTTATAAGTTATAAATTGTTTCTAACATGAAGTTCTTCCTCACAGGACACCCTGTTTTGTAATAATTTTCTCTCTTTCTTGTTTTTGCCACGTCTACCCTTGAAATTAGGGATCGTGTTTGGTTTTTTTTAATCATCTCCCCCTCGGGAGATGATTAGAGAGAGGGAGAAAGAGAGGAACATCAATCAGCTGACTTCCATATGTGCCCTGACCAAGGATCGAACCCACAACCCAGCCATGTGCCCTGACCAGGAATCAAACCCACAACCTTGCAGTGCAGAGGATGACACGCAACCAACTGAGCCACTCTGGCCAAGCAGGATCATGTTTTATAAGCACTTCTGAGGGTGTACAAATTTAACTTGATGCAAAGCATTCCATAAAGTGTGCAATAAAAAATTTCCCATCTGACTCCTCAAAACAGTAGCACAAAGCAGTACCGCACCAGCTACCACAAGAAGATTGTTCCCTCTCAGTCTCCTATCTTTCCTACTGGTATGGGTCCTGCCAGCTTCTAACTCTCAACTCGGAGAGAGCCAAAGGTAAGGGGCAAGATGCTATATCCAACTGCAATAGATACTGCCACAATTACCTCCTTTCTCCCCCCGCCCAAATGTGACCTAAAGGCAGCTGTCTTAAGGACAAACAAGGAAGGTTCCAGAATCCTTTAGACATCCCTAATTTGGGAGGTGCTTTCACTGAGCCTTCACTGGACCTCAGTGATATTTATGTACATACGTATGTGTGTGTAACCAAGAATTCTGCAGGATCCTGTCATTTGAGTTACCTAGAAGCTTCTGAATTCAGTGATTATATAAGCTACAGCGAGGCTACAGAACTCTTCCATCACCCACCACATGGCCAGCAACATAACTCACACATAATGCATGTAGAATAAACACTTACTAATTTGATTTGTTTATTTCAGAGAGCTTTTGTTTGTTTCCTTCGCTCAATAACTTTTCTCAATATTTCCTCATTTTACACTTTTCTTTTTTCAGGCCGTTTCAGATGCTACCCAGTTGCTTGTGTCCTTTTGTTCTCTGATTTACGAGGAAGTTATTTCTTGATCCAGGCTTAATCTAAGAAGCCATGTTTGCCATTGTCAGTGTCAGTGTCTCTAGACCCCCTGAGTCCAATGCATTGCTTGACATCAGTGCTTTCCTTCCTTGTGTCATGTATGGAAAACCGGCCACCTGCTAGCTAGACTCTGAGCTGGCGTTCTGGCTGCTGGCTTTTTATATAGAGAGATATAATTCTGTACAGACTTATAAAAATATCAAATCATCAGAGACAGTTAAAGGGCATGTTAGAAATTTGAGATGATTAAACTATATACTGCTTAAAGGAGGTACTACATTCTTGTACATAAAATTTGCAAATCTAAAACTATATGAAAAAATAAAACTTGTATGATGCCAAATACCTGTGAGAATATTATGAAAAGGGCACTTATGTATATTGATGGTGGCAATGTAAATTGCTATAACTTATTTCTGGAAAGCAATTTGGCAATGTGTTCCAAGAGTCATAAAAATGTTCATACCCTTTAACCTAGTAATTCTACTTTTGGGACTCTTTCCTAAGGAAATAATCCAAAATATTAAAAAATGCCATATGCCTGACAATGTTTATCCCAGTGTAATTTATACTACATAAAAATGGAAACCACTCAAATTATGTAAGGCTTTAATAAATTATGGTCCAGTCACTCAATGGAATATACATGGATATAAAATGGTGTGTATTATAACTATCATTTTTACTATCAGTTTCACCTGATGGTTGAAATCCTTTCCTATGCGATCAGCTGATGTTTTCCTTAATTAAAAAGGCTAACAAGAGATGTTGTGCATCATCTGGACTACTGGCATTTTTACTTAATATTATGTCACTTAAATTTTTCTGAGATACTTTAGAGTATTTCATGTGTGAAATCAGATTAAGTGTATTCTTTCTGCTTCAGAAAGCAAAAATCATATGCATAATATGATGAGAAAATGTATAAAGGAGATTTGGAAGTAATCGGCAAACAATCACCTTGGTTTAAGGGTCTGCTTACTTGTGAATCTGGCCACCTTTTCTGTATTGCACAAGCGGTTATTTAATTGGGAGGAATTCAATAAGAAATAATATGCTTTAATTTGGGGCTACAAAGAAAGTAGTTCAATTTGACATAATGAAGAAGTTACATTTTAGTTGAATGTCTTTATAACTAAAGAAGTAAAACAGTATTTTTTAAATGGGGATATTAACTAAGTTTTTTGAGTTATACTTTAGTTTTTTCAGGTCCAAATTGTAGAGGTTTATCATAATCTATAAAACATCTCAAATGTATGCCTGGTTTTAACTTTTCTGGATTATAATATCCCAAAATAACTCAAATTAAGTAAACATCACAGAATGATTCAAGTGGGTTTAAGAAATGATAAATAATTTTCAATAAGGATATACACGCAGTGTGTGGTGGATATAAGTAGCATACCCAACTTGGATTCATAAAGTAGTGACCGCTTAATACCAGTACTTCTGTTCCAAGAAAAGGATATTGAAATACTAGACTTCTTTTGACCAAGGAAATTGAGTCTGAGACACGAACTGACTTCCCTAAAGTCTTAAAGATAGCTCTCCACAGAACTAGAGACAGAATTTTGAAATTCTGTTCCCATTCCACTATATTATCGTATTCACCAGGGCATACAGCCCAGTTTCCCAAGTCATCAGTTCCTGTAGAGATGTCATCAGAAAGTTCTTTTCTCATAAGTATAACAATCTTCTTTTTTCACCCTTGTTCATCAGCATGAGAAAGATCTCTGTCACAGTGATAAAAATTTGGCAATCCTGTTATAATCACTCATAATACACTATATATTGCACAGTACTTATCATAGTTTGTAAGTACATAAATATTCACGTGATATGTCTTTAATATTTTCTCCCACTACTAGAATAAGAGCAGGGACCATATCTGGCTTTTTGTGCCTAATACAATGCTTGACATATAATATTTAATAAATGATTTCTGAATGAATAAGTGGATGGTCAAGTTATTTTCACATTCAAAGGCAATTGAAGGGAATATTAAAGAATAAAAACAGCCCTAGCTGGTTTGGCTCAGTGGATAGAGCATCCTGTGGACTGAAGGGTTCCGGGTTCGATTCCGGTCAAAGGCACATGCCCGGGTTAAGGGCCCTATCCCCAGTAGGGCATGTGCAGGAGGCAGCTGATCAATGATTCTCTCGCATCATTTATGCTTCTATCTCCCTCTCCCTTCCTTTCTGAAATGAATAAAAATATATTTTAAAAAAGAATAACAAAAACATAAAACATGATTTTTTACACTGCCTAATTATTTATGGATCTGATTTTCATGAAAAGTAGCACAGGCCAAATATACAGGAGGCTAAAAGTATTTAGAGAAATTAAAGAACAATAGGTTAATTAAAGGATAATGGATTAAAGGGCAAATAAATTAATGGTGTTTGGTATGTGGCCCTAACCTCTGAAATACACATCAGAAGAACAATGACCTCATTTTCTCACCAAACTACTTACAGAACCCTCGTCAGAGAATGAATATTGGCTTATGTTATTTTGTAAAATACAGGAGGGCAGCAAAATTTTTCTAACCTGCTTTATAAAATGTCTACATAGAAGAAATCAAGTTATGTGTTCTATAAAGCCAAATGCTAGATTCCTAGCTGGTTTGGCTCAGTGGATAGAGAGTTGGCCTGTGGACTGAAGAGTCCTGGGTTTTGGCTCGATCCCCAGTAGGGGGTGTACAGGAGGCAGCCAATCAATGATTCTCCCTTCCTCTCTGAAATCAATAAAAATATATATTTTTTAAAAAGATAAAGGTAAATACTAGCAACCTTGATTAATCTCAGATTTTTTGGCAGACTATTTTAAAAAATATTTTTACCGATTATTTTTAGAGAGGGAGGGAAGGGAGAGGGATAGAGAGATAGAAACATTAATTGGCTGCCTCCTGCATGCCCCCCACTGAGGATCAAGCCCTACCTGGGCATGTGCCCTGACTGAGAATCAAACCAGTGACCTCCTGGTTCATGGGTTGATGCTCAACCACTGAGCCACACTGGCTCAGGCTGGCAGATGTATTAAATCAGTATACTTTTTAATAAGGTTGATTGCATCAGGTGAGAGTTCTACTTTCTGGGCAGATTAATTCTAAATTTATCTGTTTTCCTTATCCCTATGGGGAAAAATGCTTTTAAGTCTACAACTTAACCTATGGCCATTTTTGCCACACACACCTCCACACCCCCCACACCCCATCCCCTCACACCCACCCACACACACACACACACACACACACACACACACCAGAAATTGAATTTAGGAAATACAACTATTTGCATATCTGAGACTTTATTTAATCACGTAACAAATACCTTTTAAATGACAAAGCACAGTGCTAGAAGATATGTGCCAAACGAGATATGAAACCTGCTCTGAAGCGTTTATAATCTAGCAGGATGGTTTAAGAAGGAGGGCTTCAAGTCCAAGAACAGGACTTTCCTGCCTGAAAAGCAATGGCAGGTTTTCATTCACCTCTTCTTCATGGAATAAGCAGCCCCTTAGACTTATGGCTTTACTGCCTACAAATACACTACAGGAGAAGCCACAGGATGAAAAGAGGTATTTATATGCTTACTCAACAAACAAACACTGAGTACCTAATTCAACAAACAAGAAAACTTATTTTTCAATGTAGATGGCTTGTCCTTCAAAATACACAGGGAACACGCTCTCAAGAAGTAGACACGGGTTGAGTAGATGGAGAAACAAGTTCTATCTTAGGATAATTCTATGGTATAAAAAAGCAGCAGTTATTTTTTGCATTGTAGCAAAGTAGAGTTTACGTGTAAAATAGAGTTCAAAGTTCAGTCTTCCAATCTTTCAGATATTGGTTTCTTTCACTCACTCCTTGCCATCAAAGCTATTTTCCCAGTGCCTAGCACTGTGTTGGAACTCAATAACTATTTGTTGAATAACAGCAAACACTTCTGTAATGCATATTGTCTTTTATATACACTGACTCATTTAATACTCTCAATAGCCCCAATGAGGTAGGTACTGTTATTATATATTAACTAGAGGCCCAGTACACAAAATTCATGCATTCGTGGGGAGGGGGTCCCTCAGCCCGGCCTGCACTCTCTCACAGTCTGGGAGCCCTCAAGGGAAATCAGACATCCTTAGTGCTGCCGCAGAGGTTGGAAAGACACCTGCCACTGCCACAGCACTTGCCAGCCATGAGTCCGGCTTCTGGCGCTCCCCCTGTGGGAGTGCACTTACCACCAGGGGGCAGCTCCTACATTGAGCATCTGCCCCCTGGTGGTCAGTGCGCATCATAGTGACCGGTTGTTCCGCTGTTCGGTCAATTTGAATAATAGCCTTTTATTATATAGGATGTTATAGATGAGAAACAGAGGCACAGAAAGATAAAGCAACTTCCCATGGTCACATGACTAGTAAATGATGGACTCTGGCCAGGAAACCCATGCTCTTGACTGCTATGCTATGCCACTTCTAAGCACATAAACAGCATTCCAAGCAAGGGGATGGGAAGGAGAAGGAACTGACAGTGTTTTTGGCCCCACAGTCAGAAAGGAAAGAATTGGGACCTCTGGGACAGCCTGGAGATGTTGATAGCCAGTGAAGAATGAGGGAGTGCTGAGGTTTTAGCCATCCCACGGGAGTTGCTTTGGACAATTTTCAGACGGTGAAATTGACAGAGACTGTCCAATGAGAAAGAAATATGTCAGAAAGCCCTTGTAAAAATCAGAAATGGTTTCTGGCCCTTTGGGGCATTTTTAGTTCTGCTAATCTCTCTCCTTCTTTATGCCATTCTCTTCCTTTGTCCCTTTTCTCTACTATCTCTTTTAGCCTGTTATCCTGTTGACCTACATTTTAATTTATTGTATTTATTAAATCAAATGTATACATAATCTCTCTCTGCACTTCCATGAAAAGGAAATGACTGGAGTTATTTCAAACTTGTTCCTTATTAGTGTGGTACAAGCAGGTCGTGACTCTTAACAGAAGAAAAATCTCCAAAAGTGGACTAAGCCTTAAAAAGTAAAAGATTGCGAAAATAAATGTTGGTACTCCATCACTTCATTATTAGAAGAGAAGGCCAAATCTTAAACACAACGCATTTCATTTTAAAATTCAATATTTTCTTTTACATTTTAAAAATATCCCCAAATTTATATTTAAGAACATTTTAACATTGATTACACTCTTCACTTTATAATAACAGCAAGAATCCATTTTGCCTAATGTCAGCTAAGGAACAGTTGATAGAATGCTGAAATGTCTGGGTTGCTAAAAAGAACATTAAAACATGGGTAAGTTATATTTATGCATTTAACTATGTGAGTATATAAAAATAAGAGGAGTTGTCTGGAGTAAATTCTCAGCACCATCAGGCAATTTGTGTTTAGTCTGGTACAATGTATGGATTAATGAGTTAATCTGGGTATCCTTAGTCTAATTAGTAAGACAATGCAAATAGATATACGTGTGTGTGCATGCGCGCACACACACAATCTGTTTGCTACAAGAACTGGCACTTGTTTGTTAAAGACTGAAAATAAGGATCAACATTGCAGCATTTACAAGCACAGAAGTTGATAAACCACATAACTCAGGTGTGTAAATATGGAATAAATAAAACCAGTATCAGGGACTGACAACAGGCGCATACGCATGGGCTCTGTATTGCCGAAGCTCAGTCGCTACAGTGTGTTTTAGCATAATATGTGTGATGGACAACCCAAACCAAAGGGACCCGTTTTAAAGAGATTGATTTGGGGAGAGGGAAGGTGGTGTGATATTCATCTCTGTATAGCTCCTTAAAACTGATTTACCACAGTGGCTCGTGGAAGTAACAGATGTTTATTTGAATGAATATTCATTGGCTGACATCAAGTCCCAGTAGATGACACTTTCCTCTTAAGAGGTCATATTTTCCTCTTAAAGAGTGTTTGCTATTGCGGCTGCCAATTGTCTATTTGCCAGCTCCTTTGCGAAGGAGCTATGTAAAGTGGAGTATTGATGTATAATGATGTCGAGTCTGAACCAGAGGTAATATGCTAATTAGAAACCGCAATAATGCCAGATATAAACATCATAGTGGCTTACCTTATCCTTCTTGACAGAATCATGATAGCTTCTCCTGAAACAAGCCAATCATGAATTTTCCTTTAAATTACCTTATTACTACACAGCTTCAGTTGTAAAAACATGTATTTAAGATAAAACATTACCAAGAAGTGAAGTGACTTTAAAGTGCCCTAGAAACCAAATAAAAAACTTGATCGCGAAGCTTTAAAAAAAATTATAACATTTTGTATGAATAGAAATTATTATTATTTGGAGCCTAGCTGCATCTCTATCACTTGCTATACAGAATCTTGCTTTCTTCTACGTGTGTTTTTAGAGAAAACAGCAATATCAGAAGTACAGATAACCTGTTACAATTGTTTGTTTCATGAATTCATGCATTGAGACCAGTTTATCGTACCTAAGGTTACTTTGGCTCTGCAAAAGATTATTTTGGCAGAAGTTTTATTAGTGTGTCAAATTGTCTTAAGAAACTTGGCCAGGATTACTGCCCAAGATGGTAACTTATAAATTTTAAACCTTATTACTGCACACTCCAACTGCCTTCCCCTAAGACAGTAGTACTATTGAATTTTCTGGTGCTCTGATCCAAATGCAAATTTGTTACAGAATTCCAGAAACAAATAAGATAATTTTAGAAGCAGAGTTACAATGAGACAATAATCTGGCTATATTTCTTGGTTCATGAAATGCCTGAAGTATTTAGTAACATAACTAAGTCTCCATGATCTATGGTGTTAGAACAGATATAACATATACATTGAAATCTGTAGCTGTTCCAAAAGTATCACTGTTAAGCCATTATAATTAGCCTTCTTTCTCAAATTCACAGATGTGTTTTCCATGATCTAACCCTTTATATTAGTGGTTCTCAAATTGAGCTGCACAGTGATGATGGACAACTTAAAAATAATAGTAATTTATTATTCCATCTAATTAATAAGTATTAATTAGTATTAATTAGATGGAATAATATAAACATATTCCAGCGTGGCTCAGCAGTTGAGCATTGACCTATGAACCAGGAAGGAGGTCAGGGTTTGAGTCCCAGTCAGGAGACCTGCCCATGTTGTGAGCTCAGTCTCCAGTGTAGGGTGCGCAGGAGGCGGCTGGTCAATGATTTTATTTCATCATTGATGTTCCTCTCTCTCTCTCTTCCTCTCTGAAATCAATAAAAATATATTTTAAAATATACAGGTCACACTCCCAATTAACTAAATCATAAGCTGTGGGGGTGAGACCCAGACATTAGTAGTTTTTAAATCTCCCCCTATGAGTCCAATATAGTTAAGATCAAGAGCTACTTAGTGTTAAGGATGCTGAGTATCAGTGATGAGGAGGAACAATAAAAAAAGAATGTCTGTTTACTAAATTAAAGAGTAAATGTCAGTGATTGTTCAAATTGCCATAGACCAATGGTATGTAGAAAGATATATTTTGGCTATTTTTTCCCTGATTTCTTCGAAAATCATAATTTCAGTTCCATCTATTATATGAGAGGGTAAATTTTCAGATCATAGAAGTATTTACCTACTTATCAATATTGAAAGACACCAGTGATATGTTACCCCTATACTTTGATATATAATCATTATTTTTTTAATTTGTGAAGTTATTTTTTCAGAGAAGTGGTTTTTAATAGATACTTAGCAAAATATTTATTCTAAAACTATAATATATATATTATTGCATGGTTATAATGTAGAATGATTAATTTTTAAATGGCATTTGGAGGTAGGAGGGATGTCCTTGAGAAGTGGATTTTAGCTATTCTCAGTTTAGGGTAAAATGATAAATCTATATTTTGTGCTTTTACTCCCTGAAGTTTGTTTGTTTTCATAAAATATGTTTTCCTGAGGTATCTCATAATTATTACCTAGTAAGAAAGATGAATTATAGAAGAGGAAACATTCCCCTAACTTTATTGTAATTTTAGTAAGTTGGAAGCAGTGATTTATTTGCTTAGATATAATTAATATAGAAGGCATTATGGTATATATAGTGCTTAAATTCAAACAAACCAGGGTTCAAAACCTAGTTATGCCCCTCCTAGCCATGTTTCCTAGAATGTATTTATTAGCCCAGGACTCACTTTTTTTCATATTTAAAAGGAGCATATTTATATTTTCTGTGCAAAGTTGTTAGTTGTGGGAGACTAAATGCGGAAATGTTGACAGAGCTTTTAGCATAGTGCCTGGCACATAGTAACCCCTGAATTAATGGTAGTCATTCAAGCTGTTTTAGAAAGCCTATTTTCCTCACTAAGTAATATATACTGTTTTGGTTTTTTTTTTTATATAACTGCTTACTGCAGATTTAACATTCAAGGGGGTTACAGGAAATCTTTGTATATTCTTTTTTTTATTTTATTGATTTTTTTTTTTTTTTACAGAAAGGAAGGGAGAGGAATAGAGAGTTAGAAATACCAATGAGAGAGAAACATTGATCAGCTCCCTCCTGCACACCCCCTATTGGGGATGTGCCCACAACCACGGTACATGCCCTTGACCGGAATCGAACCTGGGACCCTTCAGTCTGCAGGCCAATGCTCTATCCACTGAGCCAAACCGGTTAGGCTGTATATTTTTAAATGCAGGCAAAGAGCCACAGGGCAGTGTTAGTGGCTGCACAGGTGCATGCGTGGCCATGTAAGTTCAGTGTGTAACCCGCCATGCTCATTCACGAACTGAGGGAACTTGTTTTGTGAACAGATGGGTAACATGCAATGTGTGCCTCAGCAAAGCTGAAATCACCTCCTATCACAGACCACCTCAGCCATTACTGAAGAGAGGGAATCAAGAATATTAAATCAGCCCTAGCTGTTTTGGCTCCGTGGATAGAGAATCGGCCTGTGGACTGAAGGGTCCTGGGTTCAATTCCAGTCAAGGGCACATGCCTGGGTTGCAGGCTCAGTTTCCAGTGGGGAGCATGCAGGAGGCAGCCAATCAATGATTCTCTCTCATCATTGTTGTTTCTATCTCTGGTTTCTTCTCCCTTCATCTCTGAAATCAATAAATATATATATGTATATTTTAAAAATAATATTAAATAGCTTATTCTGAGAGTCTCCCATTCTACATATATTGCATTTCATTGATTCTAGAGTCTTCTGATCCGTAGTCAGACGCGTTATCCATTGCGCCATTGGCCCACCTGCATTTCATTGATTCTAATATGCACATTTTAATATCTCTGAAATCAAAATGTTACTATCCGATCGATAATATCTTAAATCACTCTCAGCCAAGCAGTACTTGAGAGGTAGTTGGCATTGCCTGTGACTACATGAACTACAATAGCTTTTCATATTGCTATGATGCATGATAAAAACACAAGGCCAAGTAAGTTTAAGAAAATTATTCAAATAATAACTGTAAAATAAAAATTCTAAGTGATGAAAAATAGTGTCATAGTTTAATTGGCAGTGATTTTTCTTCCTTAATGGCACATAAAATTATAATGCATCTTAGAATCTAATCTTTAATTTAATGTAATATTTTGCAATGTTTTTGCAAAGCAACTTGACAGGATGCTTCAAAAACTTCTACAATGTGGATCTCTCCAGCCATTTCAATGCTCCTAATTCATCCTAAGGAAAGAATCGAAATTAATCCACCTTAATTCTTCTATCTCCGTTGCTGTTTAGTCTAAGTTAAATAATGTGGTAGGTAGGCAGAATAATGCCCCCACCAAGAAATAGATGCCTATGTCCCCCAAACCCTGGAAGCTATGAATATGCAAGGTTACATAGCAAAGGGAAACGAAAGTTGCAGATGAATGAAGGCAGTTTATAAGAGGATCTTAGAATGATTATCTTGGGTTATCCAGGTGGATGATAAGAATCATTAAAAGTGAAAGATTGAAGAAAAGGGTCAGAGCCCTGCCGGTGTGGTTCAGTGATTGAGCATCGACCTATGAACCAGGAGGTCACAGTTTGATTCCCTCTCTGGGCACTTGCCCGGGTTGCAGGCTCAATCCCCAGTGTGGGGTGTGCAGGAGGCAGCTGATCGATGATTCTCTCTCATCATTGATGTTTCTATCTCTCACTCCCTCTCCCTGCCTCTCTGAAATCAATTAAAAAAATATTTTAAAAAAGAAAAGGGTCAGAAAGGAGCTGAAAGGAAGCAAGAGGTTGCAGTAATATGATGTAGTGAGAGAAGCACTCAGTCTGCTATTGGTGACCCTGCAGATGGAGGAAAGAGCTACAAACCCAGGCAGGCAGGAGACCTGAAGAAGCAAGGCCATGGAAACGGCAAGGAGAAGTGTCTTCCCTTAGGCCCTCCAGCAGAGAACGCAGCCCTCGAAACACCTTGATGAGAGAGAGATCGAGGTCAGATTTCTAACCTATAGAGGAGCGAGATAATACATTTTTGTTGTGATAAGTCACTAAGTTTGAAGGAATTTGCTATATCAGCAATAAGTAACTAATACAGTTGATAAGGTAGAAAAACTTTTATGATTGATTGTGTACATTAGGTAAATCATCACTAGACTGTTGAATTTAATAGACCAGTACAAGTTTTAAAAATGTTAGGGCCAATTGCCAGCTTTTGATTTTGCCGCTTTATTTTAAAGTTACTGCTTAAAATGATAACATCAGCATATTATAACATCGTTTTACAAAGGGAAGATAATATATATATGTGTGTGTGTGTGTGTGTGTGTGTGTGTGTGTGTGTGTGTATATATATATGAGCAAATGTTTAAATGAATTTAAATTAGAAAAAACTCATTAAATTGTCTTTATTTTCCTCACTCATCTAAGGACCAATAAACATATCCCCAACAGCACTATAATATGACCAAACATTTGGAACCTCTGCATTAGCAGCATTGTCTTGATTTTAGTGTGTGGACTTTAGAATCCTCTAAAAAGAGGAGCACTGGGATAAAGACAACAACCAAAATCCTTAGATCCTAAGTTATTAATTCAGAATTGTCGGAGGTTTGGAGTTAGACATCTTACGATTACTTTTGCTGTGATTTCTTTTTTATTCCTTCCTCATCTTCTCTTGCCATATAGCCAGAACAGGTTGTATTAGTTTCCCATAGCTGCAGTAACAAATTACCACAAACTTGGTATTTTAAAACCACAGACACTTGTTCTTTGACATTTCTGGAGGTCAGAAGTCTGAAATCAGTTTCACAAGGTGTTGGCAGGACCATGCTCCCTTCAGAGGCTCTGGACATGGGGAGAATCTGTCTCCTTGCCTTTTCCAGTCCTAGAGCTACACTCCTTGGCTCATGGCCCCTTTCTCCTTCAACGCCAACAGTATTGCATCTCCAAACCTCCTCTCTCTGCTGAGGTGGTCACCTGACCTTTCATTTGTGTCAAATTTCCCTCTACCTGCCTCTGATAAGGATACTTAGGATGACATTTTAGCTCCCACCCAGGTATCCAGGATAAACCTCCCACTACAAGAGCCTTAATCTGATCAAACCTCCAAAGTCTCTTTTGCCATATTAGCAACATTCACAGGTTCCAAGGATTAGGTTTGGGTGCCATTATTCCACCTACTGCATATGCTTAGTTTATGCACATAGTGCATAGCCATTATATTTGTTTTAAGTAGGAAAATTTTTTTGAGAGAATCTATTAAGTCACCTATTAAAGTTGATACATAGTCTAGGATGTCTAAACCCTAGAAATCCATGACTATTAAAGAAAAGAGGGTCATAACACAAGTTACCAGTATGCAAGTTAGCAGTTTTGATCGATAGCCTATTCCTTGTGTGTCCTACCCTCTGCAGAAAGCCCTGTCCTAGGTAGAAAAGTATAAACTACTTGAGAATATTCCATACCCTCTGCAGAAAGCCCTGTCCTAGGAGGTAGAAAAGTATAAACTACTTGAGAATATTCCACATTAATTTTGCAACATTCTCTGAAACTCCTGGTGCAAAAATGACAGACTGCTGGTGCAGAGCACTGCACCCAGCATTTCTCAACAGATGCTCAGGCACCCCACGTTTCAGCAGTGCATTCCTGGGATCTGCTGGTGCTCAGGCGTATAAAATGGAATTTAAGAGAGCTCGGAGGGCCCCTTCTTCCCTTTTACTGAATCGCTAGTAGACAACTGGAGGATCAGTTGTGCTGTCGGGGAAAATGACACAGGAACAAGCTGGTAATCTCAGTCCTGTTCCAGCCATTGCTGCTGAGGTGCAGGAAACAGTATCTGAGTGATGCCGACCCACCTAATGCCCAACTAATCACCACGGAAGAACATGGGTATAGGGAGGATTTGACTCTGTGCCAGTCCTAATAAATAAAACACCTTCTTATATGCCTGGAAAAGGAGAGAGACTCCAAATCAGTGGTTTCAGATTCAGCTCTACGACCTACAGGATTTCACAAGTACTTCAAAGGGGCAACCATGGTGGAGGACTAGACAGAAATCCAGCTCAGGCTCATTCACACTGGGTTTACCCAGAGCAATCTCACTTCGATCTGTTTTACTTATCGGGGGTTCTGGGTGGTTTTGTTTAAGAATACTTCAACTAGGCACCACACTATCTTTTTAAAATTTATTTTGCTTCACCATGTTCCAGAATTATTTAAGGGAAACATTAACAAACTATAATAATAAAAGCATAATATGCTAATTAGACCAGACAGCCGAGCGACCTTATGGAGGTCATTCTGGATGTCCTTCCAGACAAAGCCGTGGTGGCGGGGGTGGGGGGGCCGAGGCAGTGGCAGTTAGGGGCGATCAGGCAGGCAGGCGGAGTGGTTAGGGGTGATCAACCCAGAGCAAAGCCCAATGAGTCTACCTGAGTCCGCAGGAGTGGTGAGCCAACTAAGTAATGATATTTCCCCCTATGCTTTCTTTGTGTCAAGAACCTGAGTTATTCCAGCAGATCTTTATTGGTAGAAAAGATGTACCTAGTTGTCGAGGGCAATAATAATTAAAGGGCTATACCCTGGAGGCAGAGAGCTAATTTTAGACTGTTTAAGGGCTACAATCTAGTACATCGCCTACAGGGTCTGCATGATCTGTGCACCTTCCCTTGCGGGCCTCAGGGCAAATCACTCTCCTCCCCTCTTTGTCCTCCAACCAAACAGGCTTTGTGGGGGTGGGGGGCTGGAAGGGCTCCTGTATTCTGAGTGCCCCAGGTCCTTCCCGCCTCAGTGTCTTTGACACATTGTTCTTTATGCCTAGATTGCTCTCTCCCTGCTTCACTCGTTAATGCCACCACTTCGCAGATCAAGGCAAGTGGCACTTTCTCAAGAAACCTTCACTTGAGCTCTCCAACTAGATCTCTCTCCAGTTACTTACGCTTACAGTCTTAGTCCTTCTGTGAACTACAATTGTACAGGATTAATTGTAGCATTTGTTGTTTGCTGTCTGTCTGCACTGCCAGACTATGAATTCCTTGAGGGCAAAAACGTCTGCTCATATCATGGCTAAAGTACGAATGCTTTTGCAGAGTAGATGCTCAGTTTGTACTTGTTGCATAGATGAGGAATTAAAAAACTGAGCTTTGGGAGTGAATAATAAAGAACAGAGAACAGGTTCCGAAAAGTTTATGATTTGGTAACTGGATATGATAGGGAAAGGAGAAGTCAAAGATTTCAAGTGTGAGAGAAGGACGGTACCACAGCTAGAAATGAGCACCAGGTTTGGTGCTCTGTTTTGGGCACTTTTTATGTAAGATGGATGATGGGACACATAAGTAGAAACATCTACCAGTTAGTTAAAGAAAGGAAGGTAGACAGATAGTTGAGGTTGCTGTATGGGCAATAATTGTTGAGGGACAGGAAGCGCTATCTTATTTGATTGCATTTCTCATGCTATAGCTCCACAGCCATTTTTCATATGTGTTTTTTAAATTATTAAAATATTCATGTTTAATATAATTATGACAATAAAGAAAAAATATAAAGTTAAGTTCGGTACACAACTAGAAATTGGCTTCTTTCCAACAAAAATACATAAATTAGTATAACACTCTCAGAAGGTCATTGCAAAATGTGACATAAATGACTAAAAATAAAAATATACCTCATACTGTATCATTTCAAAGCTTAGGAATTTACTCAAAGGAAATAATCAGGTCTGTATATAAGGTTTGTATAGAAGTATAAAATCTCTTTACCTGGACATGACCATTAAATGTCTGGATTTACTTTCAGTAATTTTTCTATGTTGGGCCTTATTGCATGAATAATAATTTTTTAAAATTCAGGTTATACTATATATACTATTTCAAGGTTTACTTTCTTTGCTCTATTTTAGGTCGTAATCGCATATTAGGTTATGTCCTAATAATCTAAAATTAGGTTATTTCCATTTTTCCTTATATAAAAATGTATAAACATCTATGTACGTAAATCTACTTTATCCAAAGGAGGCAAGCAGATGTAAGCACAAAGTAAAATTGCTATGCATTTTTAATACACTTGATTTATTACCCAATGATCTTCCAAAAAGTTGAACCAAAATATATCCTCACTAGCAGGATATGACATTTCAAACTGACAATACATTCTGGCAAAGTTTAAATTGATCTCTGATTAGTTCTAGGCGACTCACTGGGTCTATTATGTCAAACTAGAGGTCCAGTGCACGAAATTCGTGCGGAGGGCGGGGGTGGGGGTGGGGGTGGTGGTGTCTGCTCAGCCCAGCCTGCACCCTCTCCAATCTGGGACCCCTGGCTCCTAATCACTCACTTGCCTGCCTGCCTGGTTGCCCCAACTGCCCACCCTTACCAGCCTGGTTGTCCCCAACTGCCCTTTCCCTGCCAGGCTAGTCGCTTCTAACTGCCCGCCCCCCCTTAGCCTGGTCACCCCTTACTGCGCCCCTCTGCTGGCCTGGTTGCCCCCAACTGCTCCCCTCTGATGGCCTGGTCACCCCAAAGTGCCCCTCCCTGCTGGCCTGGTTGCCCCCAACTGCTCCCCCTGCTCCCCCCCGCCGGCCTGGTCGCCTCACGGAGCCTGCTGTTCAGTCGTTTGGTCGTCCCTCACTAACCCCCCTGCCGGCCTGGTCGTAGGCAGCCATCTTGTGAGGGTGTGAGGGTTAATTTGCATATTACATATTTATTATATAGAATAGGCACTTGTCTGGGCTTTGAGAAAGGAAGGAAAAAAGGAGGTCACCACCAGTGACATAGATTTATAATAAATTGACTTAAACCAATGTATTAAGCATTTTGGCTTGTTTGAATTGTGTGTCAGTACTTACAGCTATCCTAGATATGACTTCTTACCCTTCATTTTTATTTTTCAGA